TCTCTCAATCAAAATCATTGTTTGGCAATGAGGAGAGTTTTCAGGTACTTAGATGACACTCAAAACTATGTTTTGCATTATAACAAATTTTCAGCAGTTGTTGAAGGATATAGTAATGCAAATTGGATTATTGGGTCAATTGAAACAAAATCCACTAGTGGATACGTTTTCACTATTGGTGGAGGAGCAATATATTGAAAATCATCCAAACAAACATGTATAGCTCGCTCTACAACGGAGTCTGAATTCACTGCCTTAGACAAGGCAGATGAAGAAGTTGAATGGCTCCGGAATTTCTTATAAGATATTTCATTTTGGCCCAAACCAATGACCCTTATATACATACACTGTAATAGTCAAGCTGCAATAGGAAGGGTTGGAAGCGTTAGGTATAACGGGAAGTCTCGTCACATATCACAAAGACATAACTCTATTAGAAAACTACTCTATAGTTAAATTATCACAATTTACTATGTAAAGTTAAAGAATAATGTGTCGCATCCACTTACAAAAGGCCAAACTAGAGAGGGAATTGAGAGATCATCGATGAGAATGGGACTATGACTGAGAACAAGTCGTCGTGGAGGTAACTCTACCTAAAAGACCGGAGATCCCAAGATCTAGGTTCAAGGAGATAAAACAAAGACATTGATGATGGTTTAACATTGTCAAAAATTATTCTATGGTTCATTCTCATGATGAGACAATGTTCAATAACGATGATAAAGGCATAAGGACTTTTTAATGGTTGCTATGTTTGATACAGGGTATATCAAATAGTGTATATATGAGATAAAACATTTAAGAACCACCTATGTGAGTGTGAAGTGTAAGACGCTTCAAGGAGAATCTGGTAAGGTCAGTTCTCTAAGCTCTTACTGACCAAGATGTGTTCATTGCTGAAACGAACAAAACAATGAGAATTAAGAACAGTTCAAGGTTTAATTGTGTGACTTATGTTGTCTAGATATACATCAAAGCTCAATGGTTCAAAGCTATTAAATCTATCGATTGACAGAGTATATCGGATATATGTTCACTATGGAAAGTGTAAAGGGAAACCTACTTATCCATATGCGATTAACCCTTATTTACAAGATACACAAGTTTTTCATGCATGTGTTTTAACAATAGGTATTCCCCATTAATGTAGGGTATTGTTGTGTTTCATCAAATGTGAATGAGAAAAAAGAAGAGAAAATTGAAAAGTGGGGGAACTAATTTTGGAGAGAAAAAGAAAAGTCATTTGCAAAGTGCAAATGAAATGTCATTTCTCCCTTATTGATATAAGCAAGGAAATTGTTGTCCTTATATTAGGAAACACTTCCTTTAATTCATAAAGGGTTAAGAAGAAGGTATCCCCTCGAGTCGTCGTCGTTGCTCGCTCGGCCTCGGCTTCGGCATCGCCATCGACTTCAGCTTCGGATTCAGATTTGAATTTGGCAAATAATGTGGCTAACTGATAATTTTTTTAAATTTTTTTTAATCAATCTTGTTAATCTATTTCTTTTATCTAATAAATTAATTCCGAATGTTAGTTAAATAATACAATTAATTTTGGCTCAACGGAATTTATTAAAATTCGCGTGTAACGGTAATAACGATCTAAAGGGACCTATTTCTTTCAAAAAAGTTTTTATTTTTCCAAAAGGCACATCTTTCTGGAAAAAGCGGATTTGAACAGACACGTTCCTTCCTAAAAATGACTATAAAACGGAGGTCTTCGTTTTTCACTAACTGAAAATTTTTCCCTCTCTGCATACATTTTCCCTCATAAACAAAATTGTCGATGAATAAATCTATGTGTGCTCTTATTACAGTTCTTACGTTCGCTGAAATTATTGAAGTTTGAGGTACCGCTACTTCTTTAACAGGTTAATCCATTTTATCTTGGGAGAAATTATTCTGCAACCTCGAATACAATGAGGGGATTAAATTTATTAAGGAAACACAGTGTTTTGTGGACTCCGATTAAACTTTTCTGTCTATTTCATCTCATCTCTGTTCTTGTATTGTTCGACTAAACTTAACACGGGTGATAACAGTGAGTACATTTAATAAACAAGTAGCTGAAGGATTAAAAAAATAGTAACGTCAAAGTTGGTAAATTTTAAGACTATAAGATGAATAAATAAAAAAGTTTAAATGTCATTTTCCCTGCTTGCCAATCATACTTCTTATTTCTGAATACCAGTTGTCTAACTTCAGTGTCATGCTTTTTTCTATTTTCTTGCTTGTCTTCAAATAAGTTGAAAGTAAAGAGTTCAATAGGCAGAAAGGAAGTTAATAAAGAGATAGGCTCCAACCAAATTGTTGCCGAGACTTTTTATATTTTGTGATTTAGAAGCTGCAAAAAAATATTTTCGAAGTGATTATATTCTTGGAGAAGGAGGATTTGGTAGAGTTTACAAAGGGTTATTGAGTCCATATAGGTTGATTCTTATCAACTCTTTCTACTTTTCACGAATAATGGAATGTAACAAAGAAATTAATAGTTTGGTTGTCCTCTAATCTACCTGATTCTGTGGCACTCACTATTCTCTAAATAATGTTTGTTTTGCAAATCTTCATTAGGTCTGGTGAAAGAAAGCTTCTTTGGGTCTTGTTATAAAAAAAACTCAAATTCAAAAAATTCCAAGAGTTAGTACAAACAAAATTATCTTTCGTTACAAATTTTACTACATTTTAGTATCTTTATTCTTAATTATGTATAATCTTATTATAACTTCTAAAATTAATAATCCTTAAAACCCAAAACTTGGAAATGAAAACCTAAACACGTGAATGGTAGCAACATATTCTCTAAGTACACTGGGCTGCAAACATAGTAAAAAAGATTAGCAAATGAGAAGATCATGATCATGAAGTGTTATTTAATTTTAATGTATTAAAAAGTTAAAGATAACAATTCAGTTAACTTTATCTGCAATTTTTGGTATGTTTTCAAGAGATCGAATGCTAATGCTCCCCACCCCCCTTCATACCGTATATTAAGTAGCTTTTGTAATTCGTCCACTCACTTTTATGATCGAACAATATTTGAAGAAGGTACTAAAAGAAGATTTTTTCTCTAAAAATCCAAATTTCACCCGCTGAGAATAAAGGATATTCTCACGTTCATAATTTGAAAATAATTTTAAGACGTTACTGCTCTGCGATGGAAAGAAATATCAGTCCAATAGTTTATCATTCATCAATTTACACTTGTATTTTCTTCCTACAATTTTCATCAGATACATACTTCATATTATTAATTAGGGAGAATGCACAAGTACCCCCTAGACTATGATCGAAATTTCAGAGACACACTTTCACTAAGCTAAGGTCTTATTACCCCACTGAACTTCTTTTTTTTATTATTATATACACCTTTTGTCTTACGTGGTACACTCTATGACCCCACGCAATTGAGACGTGTGGGAGATACTTGGATTCCACGTAAGTTAAAAAGGTGCACAAATTAGTAAGAAAATAAGTTCATGGGAATAATAGGACCTTAGTTTAGTTAAGGTGTAACTCTGGGATTCTGTCATTGTCTAGGGGGTACTTGTGTATTTTTCCTATTATTTATATCACTTTTAAAATATTAATACTATTAATTAGTATGACATACACGTAAAACACATGTACTTTAAGAACTAATATTATTGAAAGTTGAAAACCTCAAAGTTAAAAATTGAACTATGAAAATGCCCTTACATTGTTATTTATGATATTTTTTGTCTTTTTTTTTCTTCTCTTATTTTGACTTTTGAAACGTTTGTTGAGATTCATTTCTCAATTAATTTTTTTTATAAGAAAACAAAGTCTTACTAAATAAAGAAGTGATTCAATTCCATTTAGTAGAGAGAAAAATAGTTCAACCATATTTTTCTTTTACAATTTGCACCAAACTTCATTTTTGTACATTATAATGACAAATTTATCACAGAAGAAGTGATTCAATTCCATTTAGTAGAGAGAAAAATAGTTCAACCACTTTTTTCTTTTACAATTTGCACCAAACTTCATTGTTGTATATTATAATGATAAATTTATCACGAGAAGCTAATCAAGTAGCGGATAAACTTGCTTCTCTAAGTCATGAAATTCATAAAGAAATCTTTTTTCATGACTTCCGAGAGCTACCAAAACAAGTGTATAAGGTCTAATTCATATGAATAAATAATGCACATATCCTAATTTTCGAATTAGGAGTAAAAAGTATGTTGTGTGGTTTAATTGTTAGTTAGTCCTCTGTTTCTGATTTCAAGAAATTGAAAGGAGGGAGAACTCAATTTATAATCCTTTAGTATACTTTATGCATTTACATTTTGAGATAACTATAACTTAACTAGAAGCTAATTTTTGTAAAAGATTGGGAGTATCCAATCTTGAAACTTGTGAAGAGGATAGGCATTTTATACATCTAGTAACATGTATTTTGTTATTGGTTATTAATAGGAGGCATGCTAACCTCTACCCTGAAGGTAGATTTAATTTTTTTTTAAAAAGTTTTCTACTCTTTTTTTGAATATATTTAAGTGTTTACTATGTAGTCTCAAATATATGTAAATGTTTACTATGTAGTCTAGTATATTTTGAAAAGATAAGCCTAACATCTATGTAGTTAGGTTTTCTATATTTAATTAGAATATATTTTCTCGTATTTATCACAAAGCATGATTATTTGATGGAAAATTGCTCTATTATTTAGCATTTTCATCTCCACAAATTTTATGTATTTATGCTTTCTGAAATGAACTTATAATATCTTCAAATAAAGCTTCAATTGATGAGCAGTGAAATTCAAATTAATATTGAGTTTTTAAATTCAAAAAACAATATGTATGTTTTTATATCATACAATGAACTATTAAAGTTGCATTAATAATAGGCATATGTAACATTACTTGCATTTTTTCTTGCTTGCTTGTTGCAAGTTATTCATGATTCTACAAAGTTTTGAATATATAAACTAATATAACTTAATTCCTGCTGCAGGTGTTGGACACCGGCAACTACCTCTCCATTGTGATCCAATTTAGTTCATCAAATCTTTCATCCCCTAATGGTTCCTACAAATTTAGAGAAACAAATTCAATTTGTTTGAAACTCAGAACAATAAGTTATTGTGTGTGTATATATATATATATATATATGATTCATCGATATTAATCATTACCTGCAGTAGACATATCCTCTGCATTGACCAAAGTCATCTAGAAATCATAATGTTAATAGTTACTTTCCATTGTAGATGTTTGAAAAACAGTGGAGTATTCCTTCAAATAGGACACAATAAAAAAAAATTACGGCGACATTTTCATTTCTCTTGAGAAATTTTTGGTTAGACAAGAGGTTACGCTGGTAAGAAAAGTATACATCATGATCATGCAAGTCATGTACTGAGCTTTAAGTTTATTCGGAGTCTCTAGCCTTATGAAATAGAAGTAAAGAATGCATTAGCTTTGAGATATGCTCACTTTGGATCGTTGAACCCGTTCCATAGCACCCAGAAGATACCCCTTATATGCATCAGCTTCTTCAACATTGTTGATGTTCTCCACTTGTGGTTCATAAGAACTATCAGGTCCAAGGGAACAAATCGTTATAAAAGAGCGACATTTTTTAAAATATTTAAAAATAAAGTGAACAACTCTTCAACCTTCTTTTCTCCTTTGCTTCACTTAGTGTTTTTTGTAGCTCATTAAGCTTCTCCTTATGAGCCTATTATGAAAATACATTAAAAATATATCAATTTACGAGTTTTTAGTAATAATAAATATTGTCTTATAATTACGAGTTGTTTAAGTAAACACAATCAACAGTACTAGAAACCTTACCTCAACTGTAAAGCACGTTATCGAATTACCAGCATCGTAAAAATATCCAACAAAAATAACAAGAATTATTCATCACGTAGAAAATCACCTCACAAAAACAAAATAAATAAAAAGAAAAAGAACTCGAGAAAAGTGGAGTGTCATACATAGAAATCTTTTCAATCATTTCTCTTTCAGCTTTTGATTGTGCGAGACTCTGCATCAAATGCTGCAAAATAAAACTGTTGTGTTAAGGACAGATGAATCTCAAAAGAGCAGTAAAAGATGTGTAAAATTTAGTACCTCTTCATCTGGAGTTGGAGTGGGTCTTTAACAACAATAAAAAAAAATATTTGTGTTAGTCAATTAACTGAAACTGGTGAAGTCTATTTCATGAATTTGACATATTAAAATAAAAATACAGTCGATTCAGTTCATCAGGTTGGTTAATTGCATTGATCATGATACCCTCAAAACTGAGCAATAAAAAAAATCACACCATATTTTGTATCATTTCAAACATAAAAAAATCATTATAAAAATTTGATTAACCTTTTTGCGCGAGAATAGGTCGTCACTTCACCAGTTGGAGAAAACATTAACAATGCAATATTTGTGTGACATACAACTCCCAACTCATTCGACTTCTTAACAAGACCATCCTTGCGCTTTGAGTAGAAGTGTTTACGCGATTCTGGATCCTCAATTTTCTTCATTACAACCTTATTGCGACCCATTAAACAAAAAATAATGCAAACTAGAATTGGAAGTTAGCTGCAATGCTACGTTGTTTCTTCAATAAACTGAGAAATATATAGATCAAACACAAAATAAAAAGAAAAAATATAGGTCAAAGAATTTAATGCAATTATAACATCTCATTTTTAAGTTAGAGCAGTCAATATGAACAAAAAATTGTGGGCGATCACACTCTTTGTTTCACTCCTAACAAAGTCTACTTCGTACCCAAGGGATGTCGAACCCGAGATATCTTGTTTAGGGATGAAGGACTACTTACCACTCCACCTAAACCTGTTGATAATAAATTTTGAATACGTTAGTATAATTATTTATTTTTCAGATAAATTTACTAATTGATTGTTAGTTTGTTGGTTATATATCATTAAGTTCAATGTTAGGTTAGTAGTTGCATTTAAAAATCTAAGAGCACGAATATAAATTCAATAATAATAATAATCAATTTGCTAAATTTTATAAAATAATATAATGTGGATGTCCACTACACCAAGAAATTACTACATAATCTCCTCCATTCTGAAGATAATCATAACCTCCAACATAATAACCACCATTTCTTGTAACCTTTCACTTTCATAACCTCCCTATTATATTCATGTTAATGTCATGTTTATGACTAAACTTTTGTATGCTTCTTTGGTACACTATAAATGGAGGCATAGGCTTCACATTGTATAAACTTGAAGATTTGTTAAATACTTAAAAGAAATATTCTGATCGTATATTGTTCCTATTGTATGATATTCCTCTTGTCTTCATCATTATATTGTTATTTTGATCTTTAATTTTACAATACATTATCAGCACGATTGTTCTACCATTGAAATATTGAAGCAATGTAAACAAAATAAGGTAAAAGAATTTTGCTTGTTTCTCTCTCGAAAACAAGGTAAATTGTTGTGGAATCTATTTTATAGTTTACTTGTGAACAAGATGAACAATTACCATTATTATTACTGTGCATTTTTTTCACCTATGTCTTATATACTTTCTTTTGTATGTGAAACTTATTTATATTTTATTTATGATTATGTTCACTATTTTGGTTATTACATAAGCTTTCATTTATTATTTTTATTGTGAAATATTTTAGGTTCACATGGAAATTCAAAAAGGGATGATGGTAGTGAGCAGTTTTATTTTAGTATAATTGGAATTATTATTTTTTTAATGTGCAATTGATTCTTTAATTTATAATGATAATTCACTAACTTAATCATTGTGCACTAAACCTAATATAATGCTATATGTAACTCTCCGCTTTGACAAGTTTAAGATATTAGTATATACCTTGTTGAGAATATTGTTTTTCTATATTTATTATGCATGTTAATCACAAATGACAATATTTTTCAAGGCTCAATGGTGAGTCCTATTTTATTTGGCTTATTATGTCATTGATTAAGGGTAAGACGAAGGATTCAAGTCCTGTCGCACCAAAAGGGTAATACATCAAGTGCGAGTCCTGATGCATGATGATAATGTTGGGTTGGGTCCCAACAAATAATGACTTAGAATGTCTTCTTATGGGTAAGACATTGTGTTCAAGTCCCAACGTAAAATAATGATGATGATAGAGAAAATTGATATGCTCTTGATAAAAGTCATGAAATTTATCCAATTATTTTTTTCCATTTTCATATATGAATGTGGTAGCAGGATATAATGTGTCTGAAAATGACAAGTGGTTTAATGTATGAATATGGGTATGTAAAATGTTAATGTCATCATTGTGGTAATTAAAATAAAGAACAATATGGGTTCTTAAGATGTTCCTTCAAATGTGAAGGTAATTCTGTTCATTAAAATTGTATAAAAGGTTATTGGACATATTGTTTCTTAAGATGGTCACCATAAGAAAGACAAATATTGTCATATGTTTTAAAATGAACTATTGGAGGACAAAAGAAAGAAGTAAATATTTTCGATAAAGGTTGTGACCATGACCAAAATAAATGTTGTTGTGTGGAAATAAAAATTTGTCATTGGTTATCAAGAAATAAGTCTTGAATGTAATAAGTTTAACCGTGACAATAATAATAATTTTCTCCTTTAAGGAGATGGTCACCATAAGAAAGACAATGTGAACATTGTGGTAGTACACAAAATTAATTGATACTTTCAAAAGGGCTAATATGTTACTATCAGGAGAAATAAAATTATTCATAATATTGGGGTTGTTGTAAGTCTCAAAAGAAACTTTTTAAGTCTCGTAAGAATTGAAAACAAATATTATATTGAGACTAAATCATGGGAAGATTTAATATCTTCAAATTACTACAACCAAAGAGGGTTATAAATATTTATTTATAAAATCACTCATTCTTTTACGTTGTTTGTTGTTTACAAATATGTGCATGATGATGGAATCACATGCAAAAGTAAACTAAAAGTTTACTAGAATAAATATCTGGTGGCATAATCGGTTGGTCATTCCGATTCAAATGTGATGCAAGAGAAATTGAGAATTCACGTGGCTATATGTTGAAGAATAAAAGATTCTTCAATAATTCTCTTTTGTAGCTTGTTCTCGTGATATAATGATAATTGTACCAGCTAAAGTTGCAATTGTATCCCCTAAAATTATTTGAAACATATTAAAAGGTGAATATGAGTCCATTTACTTGCCATGTAGACACTAGACCGTTTACTATTATGATTTAATATATGCATCAATGGTATGATCACATGTGCATTTGTATCAACTTACAAAATGATTTTTGTAAGGTTGTTTGCTCGAATTATTGAATTACAAGCATAGTTCCAAACCATAAAGTCATGTTGATAATGTTAGTTGGTTTAGTAGAAATTGTATGTCTCCAATTATAGCTAGACAATTGATTATGAGAAAAAATCTCTCAAATAAAATTTGGTATGAGATGAGTTTATTTAACATATATGCATCAAGCAAACAAGGTTCTCCCCACACAATTGGTTCCGGATCAGGAACCAAATAATTTCCATCTAAAAATTTGATGGCGCACATATAATTTTGTTGCTCTTCCATGCACCAAGATGGATCCCCAAATGAGGTTGAGGGTGAATGTTAGATTTCCTAATATTAAAGGATGATATGTGTAGCAGCTAAAAATTATGTGTGGGGTGAATTATCTCATAAAAAAATGTAAACTTGAAGTTCAAAAGATAATTCGTTTCCAAAATGTTGCAAGTAATTTGTCAGATGTATTTGTTGACCCAATATTTTAATTAAGCTCCAAATGCTCCAATAAATAGTCCTTGAAGGACAGAGTCTATGCTACGCCAGAAGCGTGATAGAACAATCGATTCCAAATGTAAAACTCCCTGAGGAAGGAGAGCATAAAATTATCAAAATGGTAGTGATAATAAGTCAAGTTCTTTGAAATAGAACTATGACATAACATTTCATAAAATCTTGGCAAAGGTTCAATTACTTGAAAATGAGGAAAGATGAAGAGATCTTGAAAAGTTATGTCGATTAGAATTGATATCAAAATGATTGTTAATGGTATTATTGACATGATGTAGCACTCAATGCTATAAATGGTTACGGGGATCTTGAATTCAAAAGTCATATAGTGTGGATAGATAAATGATTGTCACTGTTCAAGTATATTTTGTTTCACTTAGAAAAGTGATGTTGATCTTATAGTTCATGGATCAAAATATAATGTCAGTATGGTACAAACGAATCATTGTGCGAAAATATACCTGTCACGCCCCGAGCTACCCCCGAGACGCGATTGTTGACTGCACCCTTTTAGTTCAAGCAAGATCGTATCACTCTCTTGCTTTTCCTTAACCTCCACTACCAAAGACGATTCCGCCCCATTCTGAACTGTTACACCGTTGTCTGATATGCTCACAAGGAGAACTCCCAAGCGAGCAAGACTGTGAACATCCTTCACTAATCCTTTCTTTTTCGTTCAACATGAGCTACACTACCCATAGATAATCTACTAAGAGCATTGGCCACTACATTCGCCTTTCTAGGATGATAATGCACACTCATATCATAATCCTTAAGGAACTCAAGCCATCTGCTCAGGCGAAGATTCAAATCTTTCTATGTGAACACATATTGAAGGATCTTATGATTGGTGAACACATCTACATGAACACCATACAAGTAATGTCTCCATATCTTGAGTGCAAACACCACTGCTGCAATCTCGAGGTCATGAGTTGGATAGTTCTTCTCATCCACCTTAAGCTTTCTAGAGGCATAAGATATAACCTTATCTCTTTGCATCAACACACAACCAAGGCCAGCTCTGGATGCATTGCAATAGATCACATAACCATCTGAACCCTCTGGTAGAGTCAAGACATGAGTTGTAGTCAATCTAGTTTTCAATTCGGTGAAGCTTTTCTCAGAATCAACTGACAATTTGAACTTGACCATCTTCTAAGTCAACCTAGTCAATGGTGAGGCTACAGATGAAAATCCTTCCACGAACCTTCTGTAATAACCTGCTAGACCTAAGAAACTTCTGATATCTATAGCAAAGGTAGGTCTGGGCCATTGTTTCACTGCTTCTATCTTTTGTGAATCTACGCGGATCCCTTTGCTAGATACAATGTGAGCAAGGAAAGCAATGGAGTGCAACCAAAACTCACATTTTACTAAACGTAGCGAATAACTGGCAATCTTTGAGAGTTTGTAGAACAACTCTAAAATGACTTGTATGTTCTGCCTCACTCCTAGAGTATATGAGGATATCATTAATGAAGACGATAACAAATAAGTCTAAGTACTGTTTGAACACTTTGTTCATCAGATCCATGAAAGCTGCATGAGCAGTGGTTAGTCCAAATGACATAACTACAAATTCATAATGACCATACCGAGTTCTGAAGGGTGTTTTTGGAATGTCACTATCTCTGACTCTAAGCTGATGATAAACCGATCTGAGGTCTATCTTTGAGAAATGACTAGCACCCTGAAGTTGGTCAAACAAGTCATCAATCCTAGGGATGGGATACTTATTCTTGATTG